AAAAATGGTACGGTAACTGCAGATGCGGGCCCATTCACCTCGTGTATGATAGAGACCATTCTCGAAAGCGAATGTACAGTTTAGATTCAAGTAGCATGAACGATGTAAGACAACTTACTCCCTTATTTTTCATCCTGTCTATGAGATCTTGCGCTTGTCGTGGCATATCTGAACTAGTCCTTCCACTTATAGCTACGTTGAAGCTGTCGTTGTCATAGTGTCTCCATGCGAAGCTCCCACAATACTGGGATTGAATTCACGAAAGATATCTGAAATTTATGAAATGTTAGTGGGTGTTTCAGAAGAAGTCGGTGTTTCAGAAAAAGTCGGAAAAAAGCTTCAGAATGCTAACGTATTCCCCTTCGATAAAATTACAGTCGTTTTCGCCGCAGACGCTGAGGCGTGTCAGGGGGCTGGGTTTGGCTTGGCGCTAGCACGTTAAGCAAATCAGGCTCCCCGTGAAATGCTCTAGCGTCCGCAGTGCAAATGAATGTAAACACAGTTGCTAAATACGACCTACGTGGTACAGGGACGCCATGATGTGTGAAATGGCGATGTCAGCACGATTTCCTACATTTCTAACTTCTGTACAACCTCCCCTCCCTTGTAGATCTTCCTCTCTTACGAGCCTCTTGCACGGTAACGAGGTGGGTTGAACTAAATAAGTCCACCTTGACTGGAGATTTACGCCTTCAGCCTGCGAATGGCAGTTGGAAAACAAGTGAGAAGGGGACTGGTCCAGTGAGAAATAGCACGGTCTAGGAAAGTGGCGGTGCAGGAGTCCTAGGACAAGCCGTCAGATTGTTAGCAGAACATCGTCACGGTTCATCATTTGCTTACCATGCTACAGTTCTGGTTTATCCTCGAGTGCTGTATTGTCCTATTGCCTGTGGTTCTATTCGTTGATTTCCAGGTGTGAAGCTTCGAGAACTCACCGTCCCGCCCAAAAAGTAAGACGTCCGTTGCGCCTTTTTTTCTCGCTACACTCACTGCGACAAGCAGGTTTCAATAGGACGAGATGTCCTCTAGGCTCCACCTTCTTTCCCACTTGAAAGTCAGAAGAATCGAAACTGTTTTTGGGGGTTTAGAAAGAACTATACATTGAATTGAGGCTAGCAACTAAGTTGGATTTTTACATTTTATTTTGTTATATATGAAACAAGCTAACGTCAGGAAGGTTAGATGCAAAATCCGGGCGCGGAACAGTTATGAGTTGTGAACTGGCAACTAGACGAAAGGCGAAGTCCCATTTTCAACCTAGCCTACCAAAGGGATTGCTTACGCCTGCCCTCGGACATGAAAAGCGTACTTGCCAAGAGTAATGGTGTTTCTCGAAGGGTCTCATGCTGCCTTCCGATAGCGAAGGAGTTTCCTGGATAGACCTTGGGAAGTGTCGTCTTGAAAATTAGTAGAGAACATGGCAGCCTGCAACACACCACTTATCAAGAGTTATACAAAACAATACAATCATCAGGCTCATGGCATAAGTTATGCGCGAAAACACCTCAGATCCGCGTCACAGGCGCCTGAGCGGATCGTGGGCTCGATAACATATCAAGGACCCAAAGGTGCGTGATAATGAAGTAACCATGCAGAATAGTTGGGAAATCGGAGGGACCAGACTACTCCAGAGGATACGTTCCTGCCGCGTCTGGCTAGTGGTCCGAGACTTTGGAGCTGGCCATTGATATATGTTTGTAAACAGACTGCCCGGCGGGCACTTTTTTGGCAAAATCAAGCTAGGACACCTAGATTCTCCAATATTGGGCCAGTAAAATGTAGACAGCTTCGGCCGAAACTCGAATATCAAGATTTGGGAATTGTGGCAAGCCATCTTACCGTAATAGAGTCGCCCATTGCTCCAATGACTCTTATATCCGCTGGACGCACTTTATTAACATTCACTGGTGGAGTAGGTGAAGGCTTCATCGCGTCCGAATCGCACTGCAAGTACGCCACCAAGGGTCTTCATAGCTGAAATATGTTTTATCACCTTATGATTGGCTAGATGGTTGGTGAATGTTGAAGCATTTGGAACACCAAAGCAACTGTATGGGCACATATACACAGTCCTGATCCCAGCAAACGATAGGCTTGTGGAGGGAGGCGTGGAATGAAGCGCTGCCAAGGCGGCTTTTCTACTTTGATGCACTCCTAAGTTCATAACAATTGGGGGAAGCGCTCTGTCTGCTATCCAACTCACGCCCTCTCTATCGTTTACAGGATCATGATTGTACATAGCTCTGCTTTTCATCACAATAAGTTTCTTCGAGAACAAGTTAATTAGGTTCCGTAGCTGCAGTACTGTACGAACTTCTCTGCCGCTCCCGAAGTGGCACGGAAGAGGGTAACGACTCTCAGGTGCCGTCTGCCGACTTCTCAAGGTACGGCACTTGACTCGATAACAAAATTTCGCAGCGAATGCGCAGTTACAATTAAAGAACAATCAGAAGGAGTGCGCAGAGCAAGTACAAGTAGAGCATTGGACTACGGTCAGGCGTGCGGCTGGCAATGCTGCAGCGCGGGCGGAGTACGGAGACGGTGAAAGGGTGCCACTGACCTATAGTCCTTCCTTCGCACTTCCTAGAAAGGAAAGTGGCACGCTACTCCAGTTTCGCTACTCACTAAGCCCACACATGACAAGGACCAGAATGAAGTTGAGTATACAGTTTATCTTTGACGTGGATGAATGTTGCCGAGTCGACTATCAAGAGAGTATCAACTAATGTGCCGCTAAGAAGTAATCGCAACGTGAGTGTAACATCCCTAGGTTAAACGTAAGGTCCCTAGCCCACCAGATAAGTATCATTCGGATTCGAGGGCAG